TATGTATAGTATTATTACCAGGTATAAATCGCTCCGGATCTCGTTAAAGCAACCGAAAATTGACTACCGCATTCGACTTTGATTACGCCGAGCCCGGCTAGAGAATCTATCTTAAGTGGAACTTTACATCCGTCACTTCCACCTCTACCTAACTTTCCATAATCTCCGTCGCCCCAACTCCATACGTTGTCATCATCGGTTACGCAGAGTGTTTGCGCATCGCCACTTCCGCAAGCTACGTCGATTACTTTGTAATCTTGCAAAGCTTCTACTGCCTTTGGTCGTAATTGATCATCACTGTCGCCATGGCCGAGACGTCCGTAACGTCCTACAATCAATTATATCTTTTACAATACAAAATTATACTTTCAATTCACATAATATTCTCTAGTTAAACATTTAATAATTATTAAATTCCGAAATTAAATATTTTAATGTTTACTAGCTCCTAATCGTATTTTACCTTTCCCCCATGTGTACAGCCATCCAGCGCTTGTAATAGCGGCGCTATGATGACCACCACAAGCTATATCTACGATTTCTATGCCGAGTAAATCTTCGATCAATTTTGGCCGGTCGTACGACACCTTATTACCATGTCCTAGTTTGCCATCGTCGCCTTCACCCCAGGAATATACATGACCTTCCGAACTCAGAGCGAGGCAATGCTTGCCTCCTGAACTAACGGCCACCTTTTTGATGAATACGTGTTGTATCGATTCCAATAATGTTGGGATCATAACTGAATCGGTTCCTCCTATTCCGAGGCGTCCTGCAGCTCCATAGCCTGCAAAGTCTCGCCTTAAGACTTGATACGAGTCACGCAACAATTCTTCAAGAAAATTATTCCATCTTACCAGTGGAATAGACTTTTCCATCAGCAGTTACAGCAAACAAAGTCTGTTCACCGCCAGCCAATTGAATTGGTCTGAGCGCAGACAGACTTTCGCAGGGTGCAGGCAGTTTGACCTTTGGACCCTCCAGACCTCCGAGTTGGCCTCTATGATTATGACCCCATCCATAAATCGCGCCTGATCCGTCCCACGATAGCGTCCAGTCTTCCGGACGACGATTCAGCCATTGCAGTAATTGTTCGTCATGTCCCTGCTTAAATACATTGTGATTCTCATGATCTTTTGTATAGTCGGCATCTCCATCCATTGCCATCTCGTTCAACTGTTTTGTGACCTCATGGCAGAAAGCCTTTGGCAAAGCGGTACGGTCGACAAGCGATTTCGCCACACGTGCAGCGAGACAATACCTTCGGAACCAGGACCACTTGTGCACCTCGGAGCAGAATTGCATTCCGTCCAGCTCCAGATCGCACGCAAGCGCCACGAGAACTTTGAAAAAGTCGCTGTGCATCAATTGCTTACCACCTCTAACCAGAGGATCCTCATACGCATACTGTCTCAAAAGCGCTTGTGGCAGAGAACTAAGTAGAGACGAAAGTGCCACTTCGGGTCTTATACCCGGCCCGTTTGTGTACACCACCTGTAATTTTCTCAATGCCCACATCCTCTGCTGTGCGGACAGAGTGCTTAATTGACTGCATTGTCCCAGAGCGGTAGCCAATCGTGAAGCGACGTTCCTATCGGAGTTTATCAGGCTGTTGTCCATGAGGAGATGTTCGGCTAGAGCTATAGTCGGCTGCGACAGCACCGCTCTGTCAGAACCCAACTCGTACGGCGCTGTTTTCGCCACGATTGGATAAACTGTAAATTTCCAGCCCCAGCCGTTGACGGATCCGTCCGAGCAGAATCGCCACCTCAGTTCGTCTCCTTGGATTTTGATCTCCGGGCCCCACTCGGTCCACTCTCTACCAGATCTGACTGCCACTACTCGGCCACTTCCGTCCATGATCGTAAGCGGATCGTGCCGCTTCTCCGTGGAACATTGCCGGTCGAATTCCACCCGAAGTGCCTCCGCGCCAGGTATCTTCACGTGGCCGGTCAATGTGGTGTCATCTATGTAAGGATGCGGGGTTTCTTGCACCACGGGTTGTGGTGTATTGTTGACACAGTTGCTGTTCGCCGCAGTGTCCTCTAGCTCCGTCACACATAATTCCAGCAACATGCTACCGATAGAACTGTTAATCTTTCCTAAAGCGATTAATACCGATGATATTGTTTCTTTGGCCGATGCGCAAACTCTGTTAGCTACCGCCAGCTTCAACAGGTCCACCAAAACTCTCGCATCATCTTCTGTTAACGCTGATGTAAATTCGTCCAAACCAGAAGCTGTCGCGCCGTCCTCACCCACCACCTGTGCGTTGGATGTTAGAGTGGCAGCTATAACACTCATCGCACTCGTCGACATCCTCGAGGCACGAGAGGACAGACTGGCGGAGCTGGACATAGACATGGCTAACATAGCTAACGGATAATCTTCAGACTCGGGAGTCATCTTAGGGCTAGTGGTTACATTGACTGCTTCAGCAACGTTCGCTGGAGCCTCTCCTCCGCCTTGCGCGATATCACCGACATTCTGATAAACCGCGTGTTCGGTACTCGATGTCATAGTTCCTTCTGGTGGTATCGCGTCCGTCGTTGGTGCTATCGACGCGTTCTTCACCGACGCACAGCCGCTCAGCATCGAGTGACTCTGCAAAGCCGTCACTATCGCCGCTCGTGCTTGCATAATAAGAAGAGCGTTAATCACATGCTGCAAAGCCTGTTGTTTAGCGACGTTACTCTCCAACGAGAGTATTATACTGGCAAGCGATGGTCTCGTAGCGACGGCGTCACTAGTTGCAACAACGGCACCGTTCTGCTCCGATGTATTATTCAGACCAAGACACATTTGGCCCAATGGATCCCTTGCCGTCGGGAACGTGACTGGGTCTTGATTGCCGTTGCTGGGCTGATCGACCAATACCCAAGCTATGCTGTGACTCGAGCCGCAGGATACCCTATTCACTCTCGCGTCCTCCAGCTCATGCACTAATGATGGTTTTCTGTTGACACTCGTCGTACCATTGCCTTGTTGTCCATGATCGTTATCACCCCAGGCATACACCTGGCCGGTATCGGTCACTGCGAGACAATGCAACGCGCCAACAGCCACATGAATAATTTTCTTGCCCCGAAGACCTTCAACTAGCGTAGGCTTTCTAACATGATGATCGTTACCGTGACCTAAACGAAAATAATCGCCCTTTCCCCACGTCCATACTTCACCATACTTCGTTAAAGCAAGAGAAAACTGTGCGCCGCATTCCACTTGTACGACACCTAAGCCGTTCAATCGATCTACCAATAAGGGTGTGTAACAACCGTCGCTTCCACCTCGGCCGAGCTTGCCGAAATCACCATCGCCCCAAGAATACACGCAACCATCAGTGGTCAAAGCCATAGTTTGCGCATCTCTGCTACCACAGGCTACTTGAACGACTCTCTGTCCGACTAAAGCTTGCACTAATTTTGGTCTTGTTTGCGTGATAGTGTCTCCATGGCCCAGCCTACCATACTCGCCTAAGCCCCAAGTGTATAGCTCGCCATTGCTTGCGATGGCCGCCGAATGCCCTGATCCACAAGCGATGTCTCGGATTCTCTTCGATTTCAATGTCTCGATGAGCTTCGGTTTATCCAGCGAAACACAATTTCCATGCCCCAGTTTGCCATCCTCACCTTCACCCCACGAGAACACTTTACCGTCTTGAGTGAGTGCCAGGGCATGCTTTCCACCAGAATGTACCGCCACTTTCTTGATCACGAATTGACTCAGAAAAGGAATGGGCTTCGGCTCACACACATTGTTATCATCCCCTAGACCTAGCCTGCCATTCGTTCCCTCTCCGCAAGCGTACAGCTTACCCTCTTGACTAACGATAAAAAGAGTCTTGCTTCCTCCAGCTATGTGAATAGGTTTTAATTTTGAGAGAACCTCGCTGTATATTGGTAGCTTGATTTTAGATCCTTTCAGCCCTCCTAATTGATCTTTATCATTTAAACCCCAAACATAAACGGCCGATTGTTGAGGTGGTGCATCCATGCAACGCTGTATCGCCACTTGTTCCTGCAAAACTTCCCAGTCAGATGCAAGGAAGGAGACCGAGGTCGTCAACTGATTCTCAAACATATTCTGACAACCAATTATGCGCAAACCATGTATCTTGCAATCTATACCGCCATTTCGACATTGTTTTATCGCTATTTCTACACAAGGGTAATATTCTTTCATATCTTGAAGCAGTGTAACGCTAGTGTCCGAATAACGTATTGTTATCATTCTTAATTCCACTAAATTAGTAAAGGAGTCTCCTACGTTGACCGCTATCACGGAAGGCATGTAACTACTGTCCTGCGGATTGACGATGATTTTCAAAGAGTGTATCAAGATACCAGGCAACATTTCCAGGCGAATCCAATGTTTACCCTGCGATCCACAACTTTGCCAATATTTCCCGGATCCATCTACCAAACGTGTCGCCCAGTTTTCTCGCGAAGATACGCTCAAGGTTCTGATGCACTTCGACCAATCGTCGATCAAACATGATTCTGATAAATCTTGCCTGTGGTATCTGCCTGGCTTACCGGCATAAACAGCCGCGGAACCGGGTTCCGCAATTCTATTGAAACCGTGTCGGTGCAACCGCTTAGTGTAGAAGCAATTTTCGCACAGATTATAATTATCGCAGTACTTGCACTTGAATCTCGGGCCGGAAATCGGTGATAAGCAACACGAGTTACAAATCACGGAATGATGACAAGACGGTACTTTCTCCATCTCGGCGACGCAGCCGGTCCAACCGTGCTGCTGCGGAAAATCTACGGATACATTCTTGCCGTTATTAGTTATTGCTGTGACTACTCCGACACAATGATGAGTTACAGATCCCCAATTGTACTTCGGTTCAATCACCGATGCTTTAACTCTAACTTTATCCCCGACCTTCAATGCGGGTGGTGGACCTGGCAAGGATGGCGGATAGCCAAGTAATTCTATGTGGATAAAACGCACCCAGTATGTGCCGCCTTTGCGTTGCCATGCAACTTGCGCGTTCAAATCGTGCAAATTCTCCGCGTCGATCTTCACTACCTGGCCAACGTCGCCGTACTCCACTTCTTCATAACTCTTACAGCATCGTACCAGCATGCCTGGGACCACGTTGTCGCGCACATAAATCGCATATTCATCGACCGATAGAAAATCTGAGCGTTTCATGTAGGTCGGTGGTGCACCACCATTCACAGCACCCTCTTGCCCGGATGGAGAATCATCTAGATCCTCACTAATCGAATCGTCACTACCATCTGTCAGTCCCTCCAAGCTAGACAGGGTCTCGGTATCGCTGAGAGCGGCGTCTGGATTTTCCAACAGCCAGCCTACCACACTTTCCGCCGTTACGCTACCTTGCTCGGCGACGCTCATGCTTTTGATTGCTAATTCGACACTTTTCTTGTGAAAACCCATTTCGACTAGCTGAGCTACCAAAGGATTCGCAGGCGTCGCCGCTGAACTTCTCCTCGCCGCTGTGTTACCTTTACAATGTCTTTTCTGACTCGACGTTAAGGAGACCAATGAACAGTCGGATGTAGGAGTAGTGGGATCTGAAGTCATGCCAATTCGTTGGATAGGTGTGTGCCTTAATTCGGAAACTAAATATTGAGAGACTGCTAAGGCGGCTTCCTCTAATTCTCCACGCTTAAATATCGGTTTCAATGGTTGTGGTTTCGTGGCGCGCAACAACAATTCCTGTAAAAGCGTACAAGTACGTCTGTCTTCATCATTGACTTCATTAGTTAATGGATATTTCAAAATCTTTCGCAATTTCGATTGGTAGGCGAGCATGGCTTTTCCGGCGTTCAAAGCAGCAAGTTGCTGTTGCTGGCTTCGTAATATCGAGGCGTTGACGGTGCCAGCAATGACGGGCATGCTGCCTGATCGTTTATCCATACAAGCGATACCTAAAAGCAGATTAGCCCAGACAGATATGAGCATCTCTGTTAAAGGCATTCTTTCCAATTGAAATTTCTCATTGACGCGTTTCACCATGTGGAACGGTACTATTTTCCGTATCCCATTGCCATTCCATAGTTGCATAACGATTTTCGAGTGTTTTGTGAATCTACAGACTGTGCCTACCTCACCGTCAGAATTCACTAAACCACCAATTCTTATTCTGTTATCCAAACCACCGATGACAACGAGAGTCGCCATGACCGTCCGTTGAATGAACAGACCATTTTCACCGCCGTTTTCGTTCATCTGTATGTGAAATAGCGGACTATCATTCCAAAGATCCACTGTCAACGCCAATTTCGTGGAGAGAAATCTATTTATAGCTTCGTTCCAACCAGGCAGAGAATGCAAAAATCTGATTAACCATATTAATTCCTCAGCTACGGTGGAACTATATGATGCGGTCAAGGACATGCGACATTTATTCGAATGAAGCTCAGAACCGGCAGCAATGTCGCACGTGAGAGCCACTTGACCCAGAATCCCGAAGGACTTCTCCAAGAATTGCATCATGTCGCTCAGATTTGTCTCCATTCCCCACGAAGGTAAAACAGCTGCTAGTAGTTTCATAATCATAATTTGCTTCTCGAGACAGGGCTTAGCTTCGTCGACAACAATGCTTAGAAGGAGGTTGAGCCAAGTCTGTGAACTCAAAGACTTGCACAATCCCGTCGATTTTGCGATCGCTCTCAGAAGACTAAAAGTAGCCCAAGTTTCGTGATGCTGCTTCGCTAGTTGAACATGCGTGGTAGACTCGCCGGATTTATTCGCAGTCGATATTATGCCATGCAGAGTGGAAGTAAGAATTTTGATGGATACCATGGATACTTTATCCGCTTCCACGCCACAAGAAAGTAAAATTATTCGTAGCAAATTCGTCGATGCTGATTTGAGACACGTAGTTGGGTGTAGATCTTCTCCGCGGAAACCGGAACTCTCCATTCTATTTCCATCGAGCGAAGTATCGCTGTCAGTTTCATCGCTGTCGTCATCAGGAGGCGTCGGTGGATCGGCCAATTTTAAATCGTATTTACCCTCCTTACCCATGCGATACGAATTCGTCGCACCGTTATCCCACTGAACCCTTATCCATCCATCTTCACCGAGTTCACCGATTACTCTACCTACGCCAGGCGGAGGACCATCTTGATCGCCCCATTTCCAATCAGCTCCTCGCATAACCCGAGTGCCAACTTTCATCAATGCCGCCAGTTCCATTCCGCTGAGCTGAACAGTCGGCGGCTTATTCTTTTGAAGAGTATCTTCGTAAATCGTCGTAATTTCGGTCTTTACTTTCGGCGCCTCGTCATCTCCACCTTGCTGTCCTTGTCCCTCGCCGCCTTCACAGAAATTTGCCGACGATGGTCCGATTTGTCTCAGTAAAGTCAAAATGCTCGACAACAGGCCTGAATTAACTAACAGTCCGATCTCGTTGGCATTTTGATAATTGGTTAGCATACCAAGGATAGTTAGCAGGAATCTCGCTCTCGGTAATTTGCGTAACCAAGTATAAGTACCTTGATTCAAACTGCTTTTTCCGCTGACCTTTTGCTTGTTCGGCAACTCTGCTTGAACGACATACATCCGTAAAGCTTGTACTGCCCATGAGATCACCTCGGCTTCAGCCAAAATAACTTTGGATTTTTGATACGGAGTCGTTAACTGTATATTATACAAACAATGAGTAATTCCATTGCTAAGGGATTTATTTTCGTAGGTCAAGCCGAGCCAACCGTTAAGCAAGGAGTATTTCACCGATGGTATCAAATAGTCTCTCTTCAATAATTCCCGCATCATCGATATACCCTGTTCCCGCACACGTGCACGTTGCATCTGACAGTACATAGCACGGCGCAACGTCTCGACATCCCCACCAATGCCGTCGTTAATGACGAATTCAATGATACTCGTCATCAAGCCATTGTAGTCGGCATTAGCCCATTGCATCGGCCCGCATCGAATTTTCTCAGTCATTTGCATAATTTTGTTCTTTATATCCGTTATATCTTCAAGTTTCGTAGAGGAGGAAGTCGTGGCAGTCAGACCTTCTTTGGAGGAGGACGTTGTATCACCACCATCCGGTTTGTTTTTCGTTTTGGCATTTTGTATCGACGCGTTTAAAATATCCTCTGGTTTACCACCGCCGCCGGATGCATCTTTGTTCTTACGTATGTCCGCTAAAACCATGCGAGCGGCTTTCTTGAATCTAGGGACGGTATATAATAGTTTCAAATCCTCGAGTCCTTTAACTTCGTAACTCATCGCGGACCTGATCTCGTACAAGAGAAATTTGCATCTCTCCTGCGCAGGCGCGCAAACTTCCTTATAACTACGATTCTGTTGCTGTCTAATCCGCACCAAGTTCCACTTTGTCTGATAAATCGCTCGCGCCATGTCGGCCAACGTATTGCTCAGTCTCGCGCTGTTAACAGTCTTTAATTCCTGCTCTGCTAACGCGAGTGCTTGCTGTCCCAAGCCAAGATGTTTTATAATCACAGCCATCAAAACACGGCTGATTTCCTCAACTGGATGATCGCCGCAAAAATCAGCGTGAGAGAATAAATTGTTGGTCTTAGAATATCTGTCGACTATCGTTAAGAATGCTCGTACGTGGCTATCGTCGGTTTTATGTGCTTCCGCTAACGCATGTATAAACGCGATTGTTCGATCGTCATGTTCCTTTTGCTGCTCGTTCTTTGCGTGCACCGGGAGCGGCGGTTCTGTGGGTGAATTAGCAGCGGTCGACGTATTGCTTCTCGCTTCATCCTTCTCCTCCTCATACGGATTTGGTGGTTGTAGGACTTGCAAGCCACCCCGTAAGAAATTCGCAGTGAGCCAAATGCCAGCTTCTTCCTCCGCCGATTGAAGCATCAAACTCTGTCGCATTCGGTAGGCGTGCAAGCCTAGCAAAAATCCCAGAGCTCTTTCTGTATCCAGAAGGGACGAACAGACATCAGTCACTTCGATCGTGATCCGTGCGTTCTCGTCGGGCTCGGCTTGGCAATAATGACCGACGAAACAGGAATCCATCATGCCCCGCGGTGGCGATAGCTGATCGTACAATGCGCTACATTGCGTCATCGCTGAAGTTTCGTCCCGGCCAACAACGTACCGCTGCAGCACTTCGAATGGAGACCAAGAGCCATCGTTTCTGATGTCCTGCACGTCGTAAACGTTGTTATTCACTACTACCCAAAGACCACCGTCACGATTGTGATTCTCCAAGTCCGCCCAACGTATCAGTGAAGGCTCCTCCTGGATGGATATCTTATTTCCATGCAACGGCGCGATGATCCCCGGCCAGGACAAATCATCTGCTTCATTCTTTTCCATAGTCGGAGCTAATTTCACAAAGTGGTCCAATGAATCCAGAATCGGTGCGATCACTTCCATCCAGTTCATGTCGATGAGCAACATAGAATAATCTACTTGCAACAATATCAAACAAGTTACTAGCTCGGAAAGTAAGACGTTGATTATGTCGCTTTTCAGGACGGTGGCAATTGAGATGAAATCTTTAACGGAGCGGCCGCCTATCTCAGCCGCTAGTGGCAGTATCTCGGTGGAGTGATCGCAAATCTGCGCGATGTACTTCTTCAGCAGCGACTCCGCGCCCATCATTTCCTGATCGTGCAGATCCTCCGTGCGAGACTTGCGCGTGATACACTCATACACCTGCGCGATCAGTAACCGTTGGAAACGCAGCAGCAGATTCAGGCTGGGTGAATTGTCGAATCTTCGAAGATGTTCGTTCCGATCTGCCTGCTGCGATGAGCCTTGCTGTAATCTGGATTGCGTAATGCACGTTCCATTTCTGATTAATTGCTGTATTAGCTGAAGCAGAGAGATAGTCGTAATGTTCTTCCCGGAATTAAAACCATCTTTCATACCCTGTCGCATTTCGGTTTTCGTTTTGACGACGTTCGACGTACCTATGTCGAGAAAATCCTTCTCGTCCGGCATGTCTGCTATTTCCGCCTTAATCGCAGCCTTCAACGCCAACTCCAATCCGCCATCCACCATCAGACTAGATACCAGTAAATCAGCCATAAATCGCTGTCCACTATTTATATATATATTCGCTGAACTCGATTGTTCTACGTTATTCGAGGTATTTGGCAGAAAGCTGGACAGCGTTTTCGCACGTTCGTTAGCTGTTGGTAGCAATATGCTCCAACCGGTTTGTAAAACTGCTTGCGCCGCATCTTGTATCGTCGCTAATATCCCGGTTGCGCTTGCGAGATTGACACAACGTTGCTTCAAGGAATTTAACAGTGAACTGCTGGCTGCGAGTCCGACAGATTTAGTGTCGATATTATGTGTTAATATAGTATGTAATTGTAATCGGAGCAAGTTCAACGTAGCCACTGCCAGACACTCGCGATCCTGCGTAGGCGGTCGTATCTCTGGTAGGCCTTCGCAAGACTTGGACAGGAGCGTGTCGAGCAGTTGGAAAGTCTCTTCGCATATGTCGACGACAAAGGCCACTCTGCTAGCTCCGCCTGACCACGCTGACATGCACCAGGCAAAGCTCTGGGTCGGACCTGATGCCAGACCGATAACTGTTTTTGAAGATAACGTTGGACACAATGTAGGCTCGGAAACAACAGAACCCAACGTGGGATCAATCTGACCATAATCGTTTCTACCCCATCCATAAACGAATTGATCTTCTGTCAATGCCAATATATGCGTGGTACCCACGGACAAATCTTTGACCTTCTTATCTCTCAAGGATTCGATGACTTTCGGATATCTGATATGTTCCTCGCTACCATGGCCTAAACGATACGCATCACCTTTTCCCCACGTGTACACCTCACCGTGAGCCGTCAGCGCTGCGGAGAATTGACCGCCGCAAAACACCTTTACTACATTAATGTCCAGCAACTTATCGACAATCTTTGGCGTTTTGGATCCATCTGTACCACCTCTGCCTAGTTTTCCATAATCGCCGTCTCCCCAAGAGAAGACTATACCAGATGTGGTTACGCATAAGGTTTGGGAGTCTCCGCTACCGCACGCCACATGCACAACCGTATGACCCTTCAACGTTGTTACTAATGTCGGACTCATGACATCGTCGAAATTACCATGACCCAATCGACCATAATTTCCTCTTCCCCAAGTGTACAATTCGCCACTGGCGCTTAATGCTGCCGAATACGTGCTACCGCATGCAATAAACATGATGTTCTTCTCTAAAAGCGCCTCGATTAATTTCGGTTCGTCGTACGAGACAGTGTCACCGTGTCCAAGTCTTCCACCGTCTCCGTTGCCCCAGGAATACACGCAGCCATCTTGTGTTAATGCTAAATAGTGCTTTCCATCTGAATGAGATGCGATCATCGTAATTGATTTATCGGAAAAACCGTGCACTTTTTGCGGATATTGAGTTTCGGATCCGTGATACATATTATAAACATTGCCATTTAATGACAATATCATCAACGCTCGCTCAGTACAGCAAAGTTGCTTTATGCCCAATTCCGCGATTGCATCGCAGTAAAAAGGAGTGGAACCATTTCCAAATTTTACACCACCCCAAGCTAACACTTCCTGAAATGTTTGCTTGCCATTTCCGCTTCTCGGAAATCCGTATTCAGCACTCGCAGGTGGTAAAAGAGGAGCAGCCAATCTGCTTAAATTACACATTATAATAACTGCGGCTTTTCTCAAATCGACGGACACAGCATCATCATCCGGCAGTCGTAAATATTTAAGTAACACTTCGCAGGGTCCCGGCGTAACGTTTCTATCGAGATGCCTTCGAGATTTTGTTGCTGGTATCATATTCAATCGCCGTAATAGTGGAACAAGCGGTGCCGTACTTCCGGGTGGCGTAACTCGATTATCTTGATTCTTATGTTTACCACTGAGATGAAGTAATAAAACTACGGAATCCAGTAAACTAGAGAGCGTGGCCCTTTGCGCAACTAATTCCAATAATAGGCAAAGAGCCGTATGCTGATCTGACAGTGGTACTGGCCGCCACGATCGTCCAGTAGTCACTTCTCTGAAAGTAAATTTGTTTTGTATCGTATATAAAAAATTGTTCATATAAAATTAATATGTAACTATTATTCATATTAATATATAAAACAAAAATATATACAAAAATATATAAAACAAAATACATACCCAGTAACGACTTGTCTTAAAAACTTTGCTGATCTTTCCACAACTTCCAACCAAACTTGAGAAACGTTACTTTCATCGAAGAGAGTCGCCTCTGGTAACGATTGTAGTGCCTCCAATGATTCGGTCAATAATTCACTACAAAACTCGACATCTTCTCCAGATCTCCAAGCCCGTCTTAAGTACGCGAACGAGAAATTGAGAGCCGCACGTGAACCAACGCGCGCTAATCCTAAGGTTGCTTTTTCGTGGAGTCTCGGCCTGCGGTTTAAAAATTTAAAAATTTAAGTATTTATGAGCATAATTTAATTTTATTTTCCAAACAAAACACAGAAAAAACAGAAAATAACGTACTCTGGAGAGAATCAAGATATATAATTGTATTTCGATACTCTGCATGTAATGTATACGAGAAAACAAATCACTTAGGAAATTTGACCTGTGCTGTATGTAATAGGGTTTACAACATAAATATATGACTAATTATAATCATATATATTGTATACATTTTATACTCAACGTTTTTTGTAATTTTCCAATAGACTTTGGTAAATTTGAGGTATCTTTGATCTCTTGTGGTTTATGACGAGACAAAGCGGTGAAATATCTTCGAGCAACTATCAAACGTTGTCTTAAACGTATTGCAGATAACGTACTATTTGCAACTTCGCAACATAACTTCCGTTGTTCCTTAATCGATAAATCAATGCATCCTTTCAAATCTGTTAATGCTGAAAATAAATAGATAAATGTACATAGACATTAATATTAAACTTAGCCAAAAATATTAAATTTAAAAAATCAAAAAATAGAATTAGTGCTTATAAATAAAAATGAATAATAAATAGATAATAAATAATAGGTAGGTAATAAATAAATATTAATATATAATGATTTGCTGCAAAATGTAGCATTTAAAAAATAAAATATAAATTACATAAAATGCAGAATTCACAAAATATATAACTTTCAAAGTAAAACTGTTTGTTAAAATTTTATTAAATGTAAAGAAATATTTTGAATAGAAACTTAAACAAAAATTTAAATAGATTAGAATATAAATAAAATATCTATGTAAATATGTTTACATGGCTGTGGTCCCCAGAGCCATGAGTCCATTATCCGCCTGGCAGATGTAGCCTTTTCGACCATCGCTGTTGTTCTTGCAGTTTCTTCCTCATCCAGTTTCTGACACGGAGTACAATTACAACCATGTTGTGGACCACAAATTCCATCACAGCAGAGACAAGATAATACTCTCATACCACAATAATAATGGCCAGTTTCACCTTAAAACAATATAAGGAATTATTAAGATAAAACTTATTACATTTTTTTATTTACATTTTTCTAATTTTCATTTCTTTCCAGATTCCAAAATACTTTAGAGATACAGATTTATAACACAGATCAAATGGATACAGAAATAAGTATGAATTAAATTAATATCTACATTATATTTCTATTATTTATTTCTATATCCATACCTTTCTTCGCTACAATTCCTGCAGCATTGATTAAACCATCGCTGAAGGAACCAACAATTTCGCCATCTCGTACCATCTCATTCCACAATTCAGCTAATCCATCGCGATAAAGGAATCGTTGTAGATCAGTCTTCAACCACTTGGCATCCAATCTTATTTCCGGTCTGACTGTTATATTTAATTGGTTGCTCATTTTGCCTATCTTATTTACAAAGACGTGTAATCTGATTTGTTAATTCAGACACGACAAACAGACAGATGTCCCTTATGAGATTCAATTAAAATTAATAATATCGTTTCTTATGAAATACTGTTTTCCCCTCTTGCTTCCATATGATTGCATGACGATTGTTAATCTGTCTCTCCACGAATCAATAAATAGAAAATCTCGTCTCAAGATTGATTAATTCGTTATTCTTAGATTTCGAGCTCTCGGTCGAACGTGACATCACTTAAAGAACAGAAAAAAACAAGAGAGACGTTCCTTGAAATAAATTCTCTGTTGAATTTTGGAGCAAGCAACTCCTCGGAGAAGATAGAGGTTAGCGATTAGAATGCACTTTGCGGTTTCTCGCTCAAAGTCTCTATCATCCGTTCCATCCTCTAGTCTCCTGTTACCATCTGTAAACATCCGTCGCTGTCAGTTCGCCAATCTCGATTAAAAAGTCAATCAATGTTGTGACATTACGGTATCATTATTTTGACATGCACACACCATACATCCCACGCACGCACCCACCACACCACGCGCGCGCGCGCACGCGCGCCACACACACACACACACACACACACACACACACACCACACACACTATACAATTCAATAAACAAACACATACCGGACGTGTGCCGCGACGGATTCCCATCCCAGACAATTCCGACGATGTGATCGGCTGCTCGATTATCCACCGATTGTCACAACACTAGTGTTGTCAATCTTCGCGCGATAGCGCGGTGATCGAGCATGTCTGGGACGTGACATATCCGCGAGTCGCCCGTCGCGGTCGTCCGTCTGACATTTGACCTGTCAACGAAGACAAGCAGTCGATCTCATGTATTTCAAGATCCCTTATTCTAGACACTCCTTTATCTTCAAATCAGCTGTTTCTCCTCTGTGCCACCGTCCCCCTCTTGCGATTGTTCTCATGTGACCACGTGACTATGAGGCGCGAGAGATGAGTGAAGAATAAGGACTCAGAATGAATTTCCAATGAAGTTTCACGCTTCTGTAATTTTTACCTTATTTCAAAATATACAATCAAACTAGTACCATTTATAATTCTTCTTTTTCTTTCTATGTTAGACAGAAAAAGGCGAAAAAGTTCAATTTAAAAATAGGCTTTAATTATTAATGTCAATCAGAAGTGATATGATTGCTTTTCTACTGATTGGCTCTAACAAATTCTGCTTTTTCCATTTCTTATGTGAATGCACATTTACGTTTATTCCCAACGATGTAAATTAACTTTAATTAAGTTTAATTTTTCTTGTATCTCTCACTGGTGCTTTCCATTTAGTAATACAAGTTAACAATCATTTTGGTCTTATTATTTATTGATTTTCAAAACTTAAAAAAGGTAAAAATATATTAAATCGAAATTAAAAATAATCTGCATTAATAGAAATGGACATCCTTCTCGCTTTCGCTAAACTTCAAACATATATCTATTTCACTTTATCATAAGTGTGGGATAGTACATTTATCGGTATACAGAACAGACTTTGATATATACATTCTAACATTTACTCCAAATTGTATAGGTTAAGCTCTACATCGGATGTCAGAATATATTAAAAGATCTGCAAGAAACTAAGTACAAATCGATAAAAAATCTGCAGCGAGCATTAAGGAATATCAAAAACATTTAAAGAGGAAAATATGTTTAATAGTATAAAGCATTTGCTGAGATATAATCCGAATAAATTTGGTAAGAATCATGTTTATGCCGGTATATTTGTGATATTCCAAGGAAAAAGAGATTTAACTAATACAATGACATAAGATTACAATAAATTCCATGCTTTTATTCGCGATATTCGAAAAATTGGGCATTTAGCATATATTTCATTAATATAATTTTAGGTTGTCAGCTACTGGCATACTTCTCGGCGGAAACGACAGTTAAAAGTAATCTAACGCAGCGAGAATGCACACGTGGTGTTCACCCACAAGTGTGTGGACAACCGACGTCGACGACACATCCACATTTGATAAAGCAAGGAGAGGTATTGCCAGGTATATCGCTTCAGGAACTTAAGAGACGACGTTCTAAATTGGTAGAAAGCATCTCACTAACAGCAAATGCCAAGAATGTATGCAGGCAACAAATAGTTGTCATACCTGCGTCATCCACAATCTACATGTCTAATAAAATACCATATGTTTTTCGACAAAATACGGACTTTTTATACTTCTCTGGGTGTCAGGAGCCTGACAGTATCCTAGTACTTACTTGCAAGGAGGACAAGTCATCATACACTTTATTCGTAAGGCCAAAAGACGAACATTCAGAATTATGGGATGGTCCAAGAACTGGCGTTGAAATGGCAGTAGAAATGTTTGGCACAGATTATGCTCTACCTGTTACAGAGTTTGAACAATTCCTAACTACGCTTGTACAAGAAGATAAAAGCAGTATTGTATGGTATGATCATGCCGATATTGTTCAACCGATCTTGCATAAAAAGCTGTGTCAATTGATCAAATTGACAGACAATCAAATATTTGCTTCTCCCAAGATTCTGTTTCACCAAATTCGCTTGATCAAGAGTGCTTGCGAGATCAACTTAATGCGAGAAAGCTGCGGGATTGCCTCCAAGGCTATAGTAAAAACAATTCAATCTTCGAAGCCAGAAATGAGCGAGCATCAATTATTCGCCACTGTAGATTACGAATGTCGTATGCTCGGAGCTAAATACTTGGCATATCCTCCCGTTGTAGCAGGAGGTAAAAACGCAACTGTGATACATTATATCAGTAATAATCAAATTATACGAGATGGCGATTTGGTTTTAATGGATGCAGGTTTGTAGAGAAATTTATTAAATTATGATTAGCATGTAATTGAAACTTGCTTTTGCACTTCTATTCACTTGCAGGCTGTGAATATCACGGCTATTCGTCTGATATAACGCGAACATGGCCAATTAATGGCAAATTTACTCCAGAGCAAAAGGTTCTTTATGAGGTAGTACTTGACGTACAGAAAAACTTGATAGAAAGCTTGAAAGAAATGCCGTCGTTGGACAACGCGTTTCGACATATGTGTCTTCTTTTGGGTGAAAGACTACAAGAAGTTGGCTTAATACCAAAAAATATAGATGAAAACAAATTATTGGCGTCCGCGTATACATACTGTCCGCATCATGTTAGTCATTATCTGGGAATGGATGTACATGACACAGAAAAAATATCCAGAAGCATAAGAATACAATCTGGAATGATAATAACAATAGAACCTGGTATTGCTCAAAACATTTGCTCTATGAAATTATTTTTAAATTAACTTATACTTTCTTTTCTGTACTAGGTATATACGTAAGTCCAAGGAATCCTTATGCATCGTCACGCTTTCACGGTTTAGGTATTCGTATAGAGGATGATGTTTTAATAACAGAAAACGATTCAGAAATCTTAACGAAAAACTGTCCGAAAGAAGTAGCGGAATTGAAGCCTTAGCAAGTTAAAGGTCAAAAATATTAATAGTGGTAATAAGTGATTATAAGCATTCAGTGTATATAAGAAAATATATTCTTACGTTTTATATGTATATAAAAAAACCATAAGTATGTATGCTTGTAAATATGCAGATAATTGTATCTATATAGAAAGCAACTGCAGTCTTGTAGTAATTGTATTTCTTTATATATATATATATATATAAATCATACAAATCTTTATTTATAATGTATTCAAATAGATAAAATTGAAGAATTATTTGGTACAACAATCTCTATATATGTGCATTTCTATGTATTAGACAATTATATATTATTTTCATTTCATATTTAAGATTTTTAATATATTGTATAATATAAATTAATATAATTGTGTAATATATGTATGTATATAGAGAAAAAAATATTCAATATTTTGCATTTTCTTTATTTTAAACATAAAAATATTTGCAATATTTTATTATAAATCTATATAAAGATCGGTTATACATTATTCAAAAATTTCTTTAATTGGATATAGACGAACATTACATACTTGAAACCAGTAAAGTATTACTAGAATCAATAACAGTAGAGTATATATAAAAAGAGTTAACGTGATCATTTGATATATAAATTCAAGTGTATTGCGATCTATAACCCGATCATATTACTATTTTTAGGATAAAGTTTTTGTATCTCGATTTACATGAATGCATGGCACATAAAAATATGAGGTAAATATGAGGTATAAAGTAAAACGTTGAACATGAGATAGATGTCTATAAAATATTTTAAAAATAGAACTCAAAATGAATTATTATAGCAAAATATATTAAAGAATACACTTCTTCTCACAATTGTATTGTCACGAGTGCATCAAACTTGAAAAAGTAATAAAACAGGTTGTAATGTGTCTCCGGCCTGACAATATGTCACCATGTTAATAATGAATTATTTTAACATCAAATTTAATTGCAATTTATCATTGAACTCATTAGTTGGAACACTGCACACACTATAATTTCCGTAATTCCATATCGGCTTTTTTTAAGCTTATGAAATTGTAGAGAGCGCGTGCACGCAAACGAGCCCAAATCAAGTGATTATGCATCGCATGGATTTGCGCCGCCGCGAGTGCAGCTGCTTCTGGATGCACGACTGTTGTACAACCAAGCCCTGTAAATATAACTCAATTTTACATTTCGAACAATAAATACATTATAAATTATAAATTTAGGATCAATTAAGATACCTGACGGAACGTCAAGAGAAGACCATATGCTTCGTTCGATATTGTCTGATTTTAAAGGTGGGCAATTTATGACAGGCAAGACGCTGTTGCCGGAGAGCACTGGACCCAAACCGTTACTGCGGCCGGCTACTGCTATCAGCACCACCTACGGAAAAAAGAAATAAGAAACTTGTGATAAACAGAAATAATCTTTTTATAGACTATCTTTTTTTTTTATCATAACAGGTTTCGTGAGACATAACGGGATAACACAGATTATTTCAATAAGTCTGTATGAGTTTTGATATAATTATCCTTCATTAGCACATTTGATATCGCGAGTTACTGTGATCATGTCGCAATGATAAATATCACTATAAAATTGCACAATATCATTATAAGTTTCTGCATATCACTATTGTGTAATTACACTATTTAATTAATTATATAAATGACATGCATATATATATATATGCTATTTTTCATCTTTTAACATATTCTCATAATTCTTAATATTACATTATTACTACATCATATAAGTATGCACATTATAATTCTGAAAATAATTCGCTGTTTATTATATCTCTTTGCATCTATGAATTTTATTTTTTAAATTTATTGTAATATTCGATATTTTGACAAGAATTATTTCGAATATATACATAGAGAATTATATTAAAATCAATAATATGATATATTCCTTAAAATTTAGATTTTTTTTAAAGAAAATTCCATTCTATATTTATCAAAAAATTCATAGATGAAAAGTATTCATAGATAAAATGTTCAAGAAATCTATATTTCACCTAATTAGAAGTTTATTACGATAGATAAAAAGATGAAATTTTAAACATACATTTTCACCGGTGCCTTCATATTCAGCAAGAATATTTAAAGTTTCCTCAGTACCCTTATGAGCGCTGCAAACTCGGAGTTGTAGGTTCAGACCAAATGTTGCAGCGTGTTTCGCGATTTCTTGACAATGCGCCTTGTCGGATGGCGAACCCATAAGTATAACGACCAATGGCTTTGGTGCCTCAATAATATAATCTAATTGCTCTTCTACCCATTTAAAATTACACTTGACAGTCTCCAAATTCTGCTGTGTTACGTTGGATAGATCCCTATACACCTAAGTAGTAAGTAATAATAAATTTTAAAAAGTCAGTTTATGTAACATTAACAGAAATACTTTACTATCAAGAAAAAAGAAATAGTCTTACCTGCTTATCTTTCATCTGTTTCTTATCTCCAGATGGCCAGAGTCTCCAAGAATCGCTGTCAATAATGTCAGCTAATAAAATCTCTCCATCCGAATCTATACCAAATTCTATCTTCATATCTATCAGCGAGCTATTACGTACTGCCCAAGCTCTTTCAAGAATTTCAAAAATAACAAGAGTAGTGCGTTTCATAATATCTACTTCGTCCTTCGTTATTTTTCTGCCACCCATTTCGAAACCCGCGGAAATAATTTGTTGATCGGACCATTGTGGATCATGATTAGCATCGTCTTTAAAGAATGTTTCCTGCAGAGGTGGATTGAATCTATAACCCTCAGGTACTCCTGAAAATATAATTATACGTAAATATATTATTCATGTTAATATTTGTTTTAACTCTATCAATTCCAACGAGACAATATTAATGTTTTGATGTGTACCTGGATGTCTCCTTAGAAAGCTGCCAGTTGCTTGTCTCCTAGTGACCCATTCGATTGGTATCATATCACATTTCTTCGCTATGAAAGAATTCGGACCAGCAGGTTTAATGTAAGCTGTTTTTATACCAGCTTGATTAAGCAATCCAAAGACCTTGACAGTAGTGGACGTGCTAATCACCGCTTTACCCTCCAAAGCATGAGACTTGGCGCCGTCGCCAGCAGTGATGCGATCCTTACTTTCCAGCAAACATAATGTACGATCATTTAAAAGTTCATAAACTTTCTTCGTCTTTCCCTCGTTGATAAGTTTTCCAAGTTTATAATCTAGAAAAACAAAAGAGAAAACGATAATCTTTTAATATTATTTAGATAATACAAAATTCTTTCATTTTGTAATATCAATTGTTAATTTCGCCTCTCTCTGCGAGTGTTCTGAATTGCTTGCAAATGTATGATTCTTGTACAGATGCTTTATGTAAATATTTATTGATTAACCACGATTTTTTTTTATATATATTATATAATTTATATTAAAATCAAATTTTATTAAATCAAATTTTAATGTGATTGATATTTATAGTCAATTCTTATATATTTTAAAAATTTTTATACATTTAAGATTGTCTTAAGTAAGTACTTAAATTCTCATAACCTAATGGCAGAATCATATTAGCATTTTAAAACAATCTTGAATAAACTATCCAATATTTACCTTATATAATGATATAAATGTGTTAAACACAAATGTATCAGATTTTTCGCGCGAGATGCCGGCCGGCATTTGCAAATTACATTATCAACCACCTGTTGCTCCAAGGAAAGCATTTACCCCTTCTTGCTTTTTTCAGAATTATTTCAATTTATTCAATCATAAACGTTACAAAATTAATGCTATGTTTTCAGAATTTATCTATTAAATCTACTAAATACATTAAGAGAAAGATTTGGTTCAACCGAAATTATTCTAACATTCCAACTTACCAGTCATCCTGCCACTTTAACGTTTACTATTGGAATGGGTCTAAGCTGCTTGATTTCACATACATTTCTTTGGCAGTCCCCACTACGGATCTTCATCGCTCTGATTTCCGATTGGTTCGAGAGCCTCTGGCTCCTCGTTGCGACAACATGATATCACTAACGAAAAGTCACACAAATATTTTTCTCGCGTTATACATATTAAAGTAAATTATTTCCTCTATCGAGAGGATTTAAAAAACATTCTAGAAAGTTCTCCGTTAATTAACAGATAACAGTGAGTCTTCATCAACTGTCACAATGACCGTCTCTGCTGGAAACATAGAACACATGTGAACATATGTGAATCATACGTTCATTACCATCAGTAAAGAGACAAAGAGACTTCAAAAGTATTTTACTAATCTATGTCACGCGACACGAATAGTAGCACACACAAAAAGCTCGTTTACTTTAATGTATGATATAAGAAAAAAATTATTGTTCGTATTCTTCTCGTTCCTTCTAATCTAATATTAAGTTAGGAACTTTTTCTAATTAATTTATTAACAAATTACAAATCATTTTCTTTTATTCAAATCGTGGAATGTCAGTAGATACATCAGTAATATAGCATGAATATTGTTCGATCATAACGCTGTGTAACAAAAATATGTTTGTTCTTCGATTTTCAAAGTTACGTCATAGTCGATAAAATTGGAGTTCGAAACTATATCGATCTTTCCATTCCTTTCCAGAAAGAATGATCATTTGGCAGCATTGAAATCCTGTGAAATTATATGTTGTAAGGATTAAAGGACTATTAAAGCCAACCTTTTCGGAAATTCAGGAAAGAATTGAAGGATTATTACGCCGTACACGTCTATCATGCTAATGCACTATCAGTTGGCGGCGAGAGGATAATTTCAATAATCAGTGGCTGACGTAAACATCATTAGTTTAAGTAATCTGCCCTTGGTGTGATTTCTTGCGTTTAGCGTCGAGTGATTCTCGACGGTCGGAAGAGAAACAGAAATGAAAATAGGAGCCCATCTTTCGAGAGACGCGGCGTTGTAATATTCCTCCTGCGTGTCCCTCTTCTTCTTCGAGAGAAGAGATAAAAGTCGAGCCTGAGCGCCTGCCAACAGAGGAGGCTTCCTCATTGGTCGCACAGTGCCGATCAGCCCATTTGTGCTTTGGAACGCGCCAGAGAAGCGCACATTTCGTACAGTCAGACGTGTTCCCGAAGTAGGACGAAGAATACGGACGCATTTCATCGACGCGAGCTATATACGCTCGACACACGTGAGGTATGTGTATCTCTTCCCACTGATAATCTTCTCCGAGATTCAAGCCGGCCGTGAGCGTATATCCTATTTAATTCATTATCGCGTTTTCTCTGCGTAGATCTCCGTCTTGCGAAAATAGGGAAATAAGTCAACAGGTAGCCCTTGTAATCTTCGCAAAGTGATGGACTCGCATAGGCATGATGTTGACAAGAGATAGGCCAGTTGCGATCAACAGTCACGATTTGATTGAGCCTTGCTCCAAGAATTATTCTTTAGACTGTTGCGAGTGGCTTTGTAACTTCATGTGAAACATTGCGGTTGTTAATCAACGCCGTTAATTATTATTTTTTAGCTCACGTGTGTTATACATGTGTGCTATATATAGTTTACATGCATTATATATAGACTTATTCAATGTCTATATAAGAAAATTTGTTATATGCGAGTCTTCAAATTAGCGAAATTTTTAAAAAACATGAAGACCGTAAATAACATTTTGATTCAAGCTCGATTATTATATTAATATTACACATTAACCAATATGTCTCTGATATTTTATTCCTGTATTTAAATATGTCGGTTTATTTGTTTAATAATATTATCACATTATTATACACATACATAGAAAATTAGACCGTTTTTTTTATTTTTACAATTTCTTTTAAAATCCATCCAGTTTTATTTTTACTTTTTCATGCGCATAAATATTGTTAGAGATTCGTCAAGCAATTTCTTAACTAATTCACAGTAGTTTGTACAAATACATCGATACAAAGTTAAATATCTTATTTACGCATGGAAAAATACATTTTTAAGATAAAATATACACTTTGATTCCATCTCTTTTTTATTTGATTTTCCAATCAAATTGTTCTGCTAGTTCAAATAAGTTAATGTCACTAAATTCTATAATCAAAAAATCAAAACAGATAAATGATTAAAATTTATCATAATACGGTCGAAGTTATGAAAGTCCAAGTAGAATATCAAGCGAATTTTTTTAAAAAACTTTCAAATATTTTACTTGATGGATTAAATAAAATATTTTACTTTATAGATTAAATAAAATAAAAGATGAGCAAAGAAATTATTATATTCTTGCAATCTGATACGTTGAAACTCGAATTACGCCGAGTATAGTCTATTCAACAGATGATTAGTGTCTCCGAAAATTGAATATGTTATATACGTTATATATAATATACGTTTTATTCATTTATTTATTCTTGGTCTTAATCAATAATCTATTCACAAAACTGTAAAATTGTAATTTCCTTTCACAATTGACTGAAAAAAAAGAAAATATATTCTGTAAATAAAAGATTTGTAGTGCTAATTGCACTTGATAGATCAATTTGTTTAGAAGTCGAATAAATTAACAATATAATTTTTTTTAATATAACAAATTTATTTTGGTTAATTACGCAATGAAGATAATATCTTCTATTTTTTATTTTTGATAAATAATTTATAAATTCCTCTTATTTTTAACATTTTAATTTCGTCTAAATTTTAGAATTTGTATTAAATCAATATATCTACAATGTATAAGATGATTAAAAAATTAGATAAATAGATAGACAAATAGAAATAAATAGATAGATAGATAGATAGATAGATAGATAAATAGATAGATAGATAGATAGATAGATAGGTAGATAGAGAGACAGAAGGGGGGTCGCAATCATCCAGCTATATGTACTTCATAACTGACAACACAGTGGAAAATTAACGTTGTTGCATAAAAATATTGTGTGATTTCTTGCATGACGTGAAAGGATCAATTTGCTGTAAACATAAATATAGTTGCTCTATATTCTGACATTCATGATGTCAATATGATATAAGATGATGAAATTGTTGCGAAATGCGAATTGCGTAAATGTGATAAGAAAACATAGTTGTAGCATTGAACAACTGTAAGATATGTCGATTCTATCAGTCCGTTGGGGGTCAATAGTTTACAAGGGCAATACAGATAATACGCAGAGCGGAATTTTACAAAAGGAATTTTACGAAATTTTCTATTAGAAAAGACATTTTAACATATAATATATAATTTATAGGCCAATCCAATGTTAGTCTTGAATATATATGAAGTTTGTCATTGATAATATATCTAAATCTGAAGGGAAATAAATTTAAATGTTTAAAAATTAACTTTTAATTGTGTACAATTTAAGAAATACCGATAATAATTCATATTTCTGGAATTAAAATTGATAATATAAGAATGTATTTATATATATCGTATCCTTTTCTTTTGTGACCTGTCATTCCAGTTATCTATATTACTTTAAATATCTATATTATTTATATCTTATATATATTTTAAAAGTAGAGATCAATCATTCGGAAAGTGATTAGGGGCCCAAAAACAAGAAAAAAGTTGATATGAACATAAGTCTGGAAATGCGTTATTTTCGAATTATCGCCATTTTTATGTTGAAATTTAAAATTGCTTTGCTTTCGAACTTTTGTCAAAATTGAAGAAAAAAGATCTCTATTTTATTTTAATTTTAAGTCAAATAGTCAAAAAGTCATATTTTAAAGTCAAATGAACGATTTGCGAGCTATTTTAGCATTGCCCAGGATGCATATTTGTCTTGATCTTTATCAAGAGATGTTAAGCTGATTAAACTTCTTATATTCATATCAACTTTTTTCTTTTTGTTTTTGAGTCCCTTTTCAACATCTCCCGTGCGAATCTTCATTAATCTTTTAAAATTTTCCTTATATTAATATTTCATTTACATGCACTATCCCTTTTGATTTCAAATACTTATACACCTTATGTTTAAAACATTGTCATTTAGTAAAAAATAATTATTTATTTATTATAGATTATGATGGAAAAATTTCACGATAAAAATAACGAATGTTGTGCTGAAGCAATATCTCGTCTTTCCATTGAGGAGACAAAATGTATAAGACCACGAAGCAAAGGTGAAACAAGAGGGCAAAGGCCTACTGGTCTTACACACGAATGTGGTGTTTTCGGATGCATCGCTGCTGGGGATTGGCCATCGCAAATTGATGTTGCTCAAGTTATTTGTCTAGGTAAGTATTTGTATTCTACAATAGAAATTAGTTGAAATAATAAAATATATAAATGTAAGAAACGCAGACGAAGCAATAAAAAGTTTTCGTTACTTTAATCAGGTTTAGTAGCGTTGCAACATAGAGGACAAGAAAGCGCAGGAATCGTTACAAGTGAGGGTGTCTGCTCAAAGTCATTCCATGTTCACAAGGGTATGGGAATGATCAATAATATCTTCAATGATGAGACAATGAGGAAGCTCAAAGGAAATCTAGGAATTGGTCATACAAGATACAGTACAAGTGCAGCTAGTGAAGAAGTTAATTGTCAGCCATTTGTGGTACATACCGCGCATGGAGCATTAGCAGTTGGTCATAACGGGGAATTAGTCAACACCGAGTCTCTACGGAAAATGGTAAAATTTATTTTTTTTATTTTATGAACTATTTTTGATTATTTTATCAAATGTTCAAGTTCGTTGACGAAATGTTGATCAGTACCGAATTCTATTTCAATATATGGTCTAGGTATTAGGTCGAGGCGTTGGTTTGTCGACACATTCGGATTCGGAGCTTATAACGCAAGCGCTCTGCTTGAATCCACCGGAAGGCGAAGTTAATGGACCAGATTGGCCTGCGCGTATTAAACATCTTATGCAATTGGCACCGTTATCTTATTCTTTAGTTATAATGCAGCGCGACAAGATTTACGGCGTACGAGATCCTTATGGAAATCGTCCTCTTTGTTTAGGAAAAATCGTACCGATAGGCAATTTAGGTGAATATTGAAATATTAAAAGAATATCGCCTACTTTCTAATATCAATGCAAAATAATAAAACTAATTTATATTGCAGCAAGTAACGAGTCTGATGACGATGATGATGAGGCAGAAGGCTGGGTAATATCGTCGGAATCCTGCGGATTTTTGAGTATCGGTGCGAGATACGTTCGCGAAGTGTTTCCTGGTGAAATTGTGGAACTGACCAGGGAGGGCATTAAAACTATCGAGATAGTAGAAAGACCAAATAAAAAGCCTCAGGCATTTTGCATTTTCGAGTATGTCTACTTTGCCAGGAGCGATAGCATTTTTGAGGGTACATAAATAAGAATAATACAATATAATGATTGAACATTGGAGATAAGACACGTTTAACATCATTTGTTTTGCATTAGGACAAATGGTATACTCCGTGCGTATGCAATGTGGACGGGTATTAGCGATGGAGTCTCCAGTTGAAGCTGATATTGTCAGTTCCGTTCCCGAATCTGGAACTGCAGCGGCACATGGATATGCCAGAGAGGTAAATGCAAATAAAATCAAATATAATTGCTATATCGATATAAAAACGAATATTAGTTCATATATACAGTCTGTCCATTTTTTATATCTATTGATTTCCAATATCTCAATATCTATTAATTTTACTTTTAGAATTAGAAAAACATAAAAATATAAAACATAAGCCAGAAAAACATAAAACATAAGTTAAACCAAAATTAAAGTTAATCTATATTTCTATTGGTAGAAATGGATTGGTAAATGTAAGAAAATTTTTCTTTATGTTACAGTCTAAAATACCTTTCGCTGAAGTGTTATGCAAAAATAGATACGTAGGTAGAACATTTATTCAGCCTAGTACACGATTGAGACAACTCGGAGTTGCTAAGAAGTTTGGAGCTTTATCGGAAAATGTGAAAGGAAAAAAAATAGTTCTCATTGACGACTCTATTGTCAGAGGAAATACAATCGGTCCTATTATCAAACTGCTGCGTGATGCAGGCGCTAAAGAAGTAAGCTTTATTAATGCTCTCTATCCTCTATTGGTACGCTTGTTGTATTTATATTTATTATTCGGCGTATTTACAGGTTCATGTTAGAATAGCATCTCCACCATTAAAATATCCATGTTACATGGGTATTAATATACCAACAAGAGAAGAACTCATTGCGAATAAACTTGACAATGTAAAATTGGCAAAACACGTGGGAGCGGATAGTTTAACGTATCTTTCGGTTGAGGGACTTGTGGAGGCGGTTAGACACCGCATGGACAATCGTGAAAGTAATTACATCGGTCACTGCACTGCCTGTCTAACGGGAGAATATCCAGACGAATTACCTGGCGATCTCGACTGGTGAAGACACATACAATGTACAATGTTTGATTCTAGAAACAAGCAAAACTCAGGTCCTTTATATAAATCGTAGCATTTCGTGATATATGATTTAATAAAGAGCTATGCTATTAGAAATATAAGTTACGTAAAATTTTAATTAAATATTAATGTACTTAGATATTAACATCGTCCATACATACAATATTAAATTTGTACTGATTCGAAAAGTTTTATATAATTTGTTTGAATTTTGATAAGGATTTAATATGTAAAATAATTATGATTAAGATTTTCTATTTTCTATCTCTTTGATAAAATTTTTTGATAGAAAAGAACTGTACTTTTTTGGGTTCAATTCAGTATTTTATAATTACATATTATTTTACATACAAAGTATGTACGAATTGTGTGTATGATATATGTATGAAATAAAAAGAATGATAGAATTAATAATGCGTGAGATATTATCATGACTTGACTATATCATGACTTTTATCATGTTTTTTGCAAAACAAAACAAGCATTATATGCAGGAAAAAAAACAGAAGAGAGGAGGAAAAATATATATACTGTAATTATAAAGACATCTATAATAATGTAATCAATCCGTTTTCTAAATTTATTCAAGATTATAGATCTATATCAATTAAATTGATATCTATTATGTCTGCTTTATACACAATACAAATCTATTTTTTTAAGCTATTCAAAGACATGAAAGAAATTTAGAAATAGAAAAAAATATAAAAGATTTATTATAAAGAATATACTTATTAATATTACATATTATATCCTTTATTATTAAATGTGATTTTTTTTATATCATTATATATAAATAATTATTTACATCCTCTTTGCAGCACTCAACATAAAGAATTCAAACATGAACATATATTATTCTCTCTCTTGTCATAAATAATTCTTATAATCACACTTCTAAATTGTAATTATATATAATCATTTCTTTTTCATATAATTTACATAACTTAATATCTAAAAAAATTTAAGATATACTATCAATTTTATTTTGTAAATATAAATTCTTGTGATAACAAATATTAATTCTTAAATAACAAAATATTCGATTAGAACTTCAAAATATTTTAGGAATATATTTTCAAATATATGATTTTTCCTGTAATTGCTTAAAAAATTTTTATTTAAATATATATTAAAAGTTTTTAGCATACTAATGAAATTTAAAGTAATTACTCACTTTTTGCAAATAAATTTTTAAAATTGATTACACTTTTTCTGAGTTTTCTTCGGTTTTGTGTTCTACAATATTATCCTCATCAGAATTTGGCGTATCCTGGGATTTTTTCTCTTCCCTAATTTTATGTTTTTCTAAATATGTATTTAATTCCTCTAATTTATCATTACGTATTTTATTCCAAAATTTCATAGCTAGAAAAATTAATTTCATGTTATGTTAAATAAAGCACATAAAGAAATTTTTATGTGCTTTTTCACTTTATTTTTTACCATCCTTTTGATAGTTCGGTGGTACTCCAGCTTGAGATAATGTATCAGTATTTGGAATGCAACTTTCATGTTCAGAATCACCAACAACCTCGACTTTTGGTTTTGTAAATACTCTCTGCATCTTAAGTAACTTTCTTGTTTTGGCAAAATATTTTAAAGATGGTACTTTGTCAAATACAACATCATCTACCTTTGGGTTATCATCTTTCTCAAAAAACATATAAGTACCCATTGCGTCTTCATATGTTCCTTCATAAAACTGAAAATATAATCGAAAAAAAATATATAAAGCGGATATTAATTTATTTTCATGTTCCATATGTTAGCATACCCGTCCATTAATTTGCATTACAGGATGTTCAGTATCTAAACCAATCATATCTAATTGAAGATTTTCATTATTAAACGCATCATTGCCAGCAAGCCCCTCAAACTCTACATACACGAGCATTTCTTCTTCATCTTCAGGTAATTCATCATCTGATTCCATTTTTATTATAAACTACTCTTTATATATTCACAGACAGTGATTCTTTTTTTAAAGATTAAAGATCCCACCTAAAAATTATGCATATTATACTATACATATACAAGAAAATATATTTCAAATATAACAAGAATAATAAAACAATTATATATCTAACCTCACATAGAAAAGAACATTAATTTTTAATAAAAATATTATACTTATTCATATTTAAGTACACAATACCTAAGATTGAAATCTTGTACAATTTCTTTTTAATTAATATTTTATTTTCAAAAGAAAAATAGAATATAAATAGAAGAAAAAATATTCGGAACGATCACAATATATTCAGACGCAAGATCTTCCTTCACAGGTGACCTGTGTGAAGATAGCCCCCCAACATTGAAAAACATAAAGTTTCTATAGCTCATTCGTTTTAATTAGAGGTGTGCAAACGAAAAATCGACCTGTTTGGCAATGTGCAAACGAATATCTATCAATTGAGCTATTTTTTATTTAATTTACTCATAGTTGTGGGGCTAGTGTGAAGATGGCCCCCCGAAATTTGTTTTGTTAATAACTTTTTTACTAAAAGTATGCAAACGAAAATTCGAAATGTGCATACATGTGCAAACGATGAGCAATCGAATGAGCTATAGAAACTTTATGTTTTTCAATGTTGGGGGGCTATCTTCATACAGGTCTTCACAGTGTACACTAATTCTAGCTACAAAGAACAGACCATTTGTCCAAATAAGCAAACGACCAATCGCAGTATAATTCAAGTTCAACGGAAGCAGAACGAAAACGCTGTTGGCGCTAGTCTCAGCGTAAATGCAGCCGTAATGATGACGTGTTCGTTGTGTATTACGTGTTGGAAACACATTTGACACGTCGCCTGCTATTCTGCATTATACCGCCAGCTTGCGTTCGAATCGCCTGGTGAGTATATGTCTTGTTGTCACGTCGCAGTTATGAGTAACGAATTGTCTGCCAGCATTTCATTATAACGCATCTTGATTTATAACGAGTGAATCTCATTGAATTTCTAGAACACAAGCACCGTTATTAGCACCAAGATATTTGGCACGTTAGCTAAGTCTACGACGGTTCTTGAATAGGTCTTCCTGAAATCTCTCAAATTGTCAGTGATAAGAACAGTTGCACAATGGTAAGCATAATGTTTTGAATGAAATAATCTGATATGATTGAAGGAAAAAGTAACGCAATATTTTCTTTCTCGGAAAAAGCCTGCTGCACCCAGTGCTACCTCTGTAGGTTCTGTTGGACGGTCACCTAGTAAAGCTATAGCACCTAGAACAGGTGGCAGTGGCACTGTCAGACAGAGGAAAACCACTGTAACTTCCTCTGCCCGGAACAGGAATACTGGCACAAGTTCCGGTGGCATGTGGAGGTTCTATACCGATGATTCCCCTGGCATTAAAGTGTAAGTAAAGATTAAAAATCCATAGATGAAAATTATGAGCTTTGTATATGCATCGAGTCACATATGGTACAAAGAGACTTAATATATTTTAATAGTTTTGTTTATGTGTTTATTGATAATTTATTATGATATATCTTTATCATGACAGGTAATAAATAAGTACAAATAAATTATTAATCATCTTGAGATTTAAATCAATAATTAAAAGATAAAAATCAGATGATATTGATGTATAATATAAAACTTTTATTGATGTATAATATAAAAATATTGAATTTTAGGGTTTATTGACTTTTATCTTTAACTTATTGCAATAACTAAAATATAACATCTTAATTTGTTTATGTAACATTGATTGAAATAACAATTTAATTTTCTAAATTATTGCAATATTAATGTTATATGGCAGCATCCTAATAAATAATAAATACTAAATTCTTTCTTAATAATTAATATTAAAATCTTGTTGCAGAGGTCCAGTGCCAGTATTGGTTATGTCGCTTCTGTTTATTGCATCTGTGTTCATGCTTCACATCTGGGGCAAGTACACAAGAAACTAGATTTAAGTAAATCTGTGGAATTTGGACTTGTAGATAGGAAGCAGTGAATGATGTTGCAAATGGCATCTTCCTGAAATTACAAAATGGCATTTTAAAAAGATCAATATCAGGTGGTTTTTAATATATAATGTTATCGATAATGCATCATTGAAGAAAAATCTATGAAATACATTGCAATGCTGACATCGTTATATGGTAAATTGAAATGTATTCATATTGAAGAATAAGAGAAAATGTGTTTTTTTAATAATTTCATCGGTTATGCATATTGTGAGAAAGCGTGAGAGATTACTCAATTTGCATTTGTAATATTAAGGGTATAACAATATATGATATTGAAATAAATGTAAGTTATTTTTACCCTAATCAATTGACTGCATGTGAATCGATTTATTTAAGTCCTCACAATTAGTCATTTCCCATGAGAACATTATATCCTGATCAAGAACTTAATGTATTATTTTTAAGATTGAAGTAGGAAATTAATTTATAAATGAAAAATTTATATTTAGATTATCTTTTTTTGAAAAGATGAAGATTACAATAATTGATTGGATTGATTACTAAAATATTTTGTATTAGTAGTGATTTTATAAAAAATATAAAAATTCCCTTAAATTCTTCGATTTTTTAAAAATGTTTGCCTTATATTTCAACATATATTATTTTTAATCGTCTTTTTTATATCGTCTTCGCTGTAAATCTATTTCATTTCTACATAAAAATTGAAAACCCAAAGAATGTAGATAATACTATTTTACATGTATATTTTCTATTTTATTAATTAATTTTTCATATTATAAATTTATTATTTAGAATTTTATATTAAACCTATAATAATTTATATTCATGTATTAGAATACAGACTACAATTGTTAATGAGAATTGTCTCATGTCAATGTGTATACAGTGTTGCATGAGTGAGATATGAAAAGAGCGCAATGTTCTGTTAATAATAATTTATAATAATCTTGTTTCGAAACGAATATTTCAAGTGTACTGTAGAGAATACATTTGATATAGATTTTCTCATTCACAGAAACATCTATTTTATTCAAAAACTTTTAATTCTTGCGTGAGTCATTGCCGTTCTTGCGTTCGTAGTTTTTACATCACATTTTCGTTCTTAAACATTTTCAGCGAAGCGCCGGCGCATCCAATATTGATTCCTGGCTCGATGGACCGAATAGCATTGCAGCGTTTCCGGATTGAGGAAGATACTAATAGCGTTCTAAGATATTTGAAAGTAAACGGTTTGAAAATGTAGATGTAAAACATGCACGTGTTGAGATGTTCAGCATGAAGAGGAAAAAATAGCAAGCAGCAAAGAGAAAACAAAAACAAAAAGAATGTATGAAGGAAGAAAAGAGTGATGAACAGAGAGAAAAGTATGGAAAAATAAACGAAGGAAAGAAAAAGAGAATAAGATATTATGTTGACTGCGTGTGTTACTTTTCTAATTATAGTGACAAAAATCGGATGATTAGAATTGAAGAGAAAAATAAATGATGCGAAGATACACGATTAATGTACAGGATATTTAGGAGTTTCTGAAAAACGAAAGAAAGAAAACAGATAATGCAGATTAGAAAAGAGAAAATTGCAGAATAGAAAGAAATATTGTGAAAACGAGTGAAGGATTTGAAAAAAGAGTTATTTGAAAGCGTTTTTATGAACTTTAGATTAAATTTTTTAATTCTATATTAATATCTAATATTTATAAATTTGTGCGAAAAGTAATCAAAAATTCCGATTCAATAAATAATTACTAGAAGGAAATTGTACAAAAAAAATAAACAAAAAAGATTGATATCTTGGAGAGACACGCGCGTACGAAATTCGATGTATTCAAATAACTGATGATGAAATAACGAATGATTAATTAAAGGGCACGATCTCTCCGCTTTGAAAGCGACACAGGGGAGAATCGTGGCATGCCGGGGCCGCGTTCCATCTGGCGCAGGTGTCCCTGAAAATGATGTCGGGAACATCCTCCGAGCCGCGGAGTCTCGACGGAGGCGCTCCGGAGGCGTGCGCGGTGGAGGTGTCGGGAAGAACGCGCATTGTGAATCGCGCGAGAGGGGAAGGGAGCGGGACGAGGGGGGTGCGCCGCGGAGAGGCGATTCCGCCGCTCCGATCACCCCGGGGACGTGGCGGGGGCGGACGTGGATCTCGCGCTCCGTTGTCGATGGGCGCGCGAGGAGGTTCGAGCGTCGACCGACCCGCGGCGGACTCACACGTGATACCGTCGTGCGGGAGTGCGCGCCTCGTTTTAGCCGCGGCGACATTGGACCTCCCGTTCGTCGCCTGCCGCGTCCGAGCGGAGCAGAGCGGAGCGGAGCGGAGCAAAGCAGAGCGAAGCGGAGCGTCGAGGCGGGACGCGCCGCACCGCTGGAAAACCATCGCGAGATGCGGTTCTCCACGGGAGAGGTAATTCCTTTCTCTCGCTCTCCCAAGTTTCGTCTCGAGCGGCTTGAAAAAAAAGTCCGGGAGATCCGCGACGATCGCCCGTATCAATAGCGTTATCCTTCCGCAGCGGTGACAGCGTTATATTTAAAGATCGAGCACTCGAGCGTAGCTTTAATTCGAGCGTTTCGTTCGATAACGTCATAAAATCACGTACACGGGTGCATTCTAAATTATTTCGCGCCAGGGAGAGCAGCTTCTTGAAGGTAACTTTGAATTTATATGCTGCATTTATACGCGCTGGAACGTTTTCAAATTATTCAAAATATTGCTGCCAAGAATGCACGGTTTTCCTAAGTGATAAATTTCTTAGCAAATTTCCCTGGGAAATTGCCCCGACTGGCACATCCTCGACGCACCGCGTTTTCCGCATTGCGGAAAGCGTAATATAACTACACACGTTAATATATACGAGCGTGTTTGTTTGTCTGGAACATGTAACTTGTTAATTTGCCAGAAGATAGAATCCGATATCGATCGCCTTCTTCCCTCCAATTTCAATTTTTTTGGTATATAAAGAATTACAGAAATTATTTATAGAAATATATAATTCATGCTAAACAGCAATTACGTTTCTTCCTTTTTTTCTGGAGAGTTTGGATCTCTAAGTCCAAGATAACTTAGCAAATTTGTCCATGATGAAAAGGATAATTAAATGGACTTTTAATAACTGTAAAAAGACCTAATATCTATAAAAATTTCGCAACTTTTATTTCCTTTCAACAATCGAAGCAGTATTTTATAATCCGTAAATTTAAAACTTTATTAATTTTACTTGAAAGCTTCGAGAGAAACGATTTACAGATAAGAAAGAGAAAAGTTATTAAAGCATTAAAGTAATTAAGTTTAAAACAATTAGTTTTAAATTAAAGCAACAAGAGCTAAAGGACGGACGTTAATTAACATCAGTGCGAACAATTGCATTTCAGAATTCGAGATAATTAATCCGGAGGCAATTAACGTGTGGTTGAGGACATGGCGATCGACATTTTAGACGAGGATCATCTCGCCGTGAGCGCGATCGTGACCGTCGGCATGCAGCTGATTTTCTTCACGATCGCGGCCACTTTCCAAATGGACAAGTTAACGGACTTCGCCGGCGGCACCAACTTTATCATCCTCGCCCTTCTCACTTTCTTTCTCGGTCAAGTGGGCAAGGTACCCTCGACACTAATCTCTCGCCCTTCTCGTGCATGTGCGATGTCTGTATAAAGACCGATAAAATCTGAGTATTACAAAAATACATAAGATATTTAATATCTCGTATAATGGAAAAAGAATTATCAAAAAATTAACAAAAATTTGGATGAGCTTTTCTGAAAAATAATTTGCGTATTAAGTTATACGTTTCCGGCATTATTTGTTAACATTAGAAGTATCAAGTGATTACTTTTGATCATTTTTATTTTTTATATTAATATCCTTTTTTCTCATATTAAAAATACGATTTGGAATTTTTTAATATTTTATTAATTATTCTTTTTATTCTGGATTATTGAAGTTAGAAAATCTGAAAACTCTGTTTATGATATTTGAAAAAAATAAAAATAGTCCAAAATAACCGCTTGATATTTCTAATATTAAACTGTGAAGTGCAATGATAAAATTTAATTACAAAAAATCTGTCAAAAAATTTTTTGATTGGATGCAGAAGTTTTAACAGATTTGATAAAAACAATGTCACAAATTAAATGAAGCTTCTGTTTCACTATCGATAACTAATAATTATTATTATTATTGTAACTTCGTTAAAAGTTGAAAGATTTAATAACGACTGTCATAAATAACTCCCTTTCACAATTACGTTCGTATATAAAAGATTAGTCTGTTAAATTACTCTAGAACGATTTTCTCTCTCGAGGGCTTCGGTGAATGCATCTTGACATTCGCGCGCTACGTTGCAGGTTTTATCATCGACAGTTTTATCCTCAGTGAAGCCGATGTTATAAATAAAACGACAAGATATATTTAATATCTATTAACGGATGACCTATAAGTGCTATAAATTTTTTTTATACGACTCATGTCTTATCTCGATCGTTACGGTCGTTATGTTGCGAATCCGTCGGGGTAAATAACATCACGTATCTTTCTCTCCCCCGTAGACGTACGACAGCCGACAAGTCATGGTGACCGTGTTTGTCTGCTTGTGGGGGGTACGGCTCTCCGGATATTTGCTGTATAGAATCATCAAGATAGGCCGTGACAAGAGATTCGACGATCGTCGCAGCAACGTGATTCGCTTCGCCGTGTTCTGGACATTCCAGGTGAGGGATAGGAGACCGCGTTGTGACGCGAGTATACCTCGCTTCCCCACGAGGGTGATATCGAGAGCATCGCATTTGACGGTTCGCAGGCTGTGTGGGTGTACGTCGTCAGCCTGCCTGTGATAATAATCAATTCTCCACGTCACAAGATACCGCCCGCACCGAAAACTATGACGACCCTCGACAGCGCTGGCACGGGTCTCTTCCTGATCGGCTTGCTGGCTGAGACTTACGCCGATCTGCAAAAGTTCGCTTTCAAGCAGGACCCGGTGAACAATGGAAAATGGTGTAACGATGGTGAGATCACCCTTCGATTACACGATCGATACATATCACTTATTTGCTACAATAATATAATTCACAAATTGTCAGTTTTGAGTTTGTTGTTTGGAAAAAAGAATCAATCTTTGGAATTTTATTATTGGTGAATTAAGTTTTTAAAACTCGACTCGTATCTCTCATATCTCTTATACAACATACGTTCACCGAGTCAATTTCGAGTCGAAAAAACGATTAGAATAAAATAAATCTTTAGATAGAAAGCAACATATAAAAAACTCTTATGACATATATTTTAAAATTATTGAAAAATAAATTAAGATTAGAAAGAGGACGTGTGAAATTGAAAACTTAAAAATTTAGAACGCGAATCGACAGAGTGTTTATTTTCTATGGGTTTCTTTACGTTTGCAAACAATTTAGTTATTGTTAGAGCACGGAAGTTCACGTAGCTTCACAATAAGCCATTCTCTACATTGGAAATGTGCTATTTTCTTAACAATATCAACAGAATAGAACGAGGATTTTGTTTAGATTAAACAGTTGCATGCAAGTTGTATCGTCTCAGTATATTTCATCACAAACTGGAAAGACTCCTTACGAAATCTGATGAACTTCTTTGTGTCTTATCATCTAATTACTTTTAATTAATTCGATAACATCTTACCCCGACTTTTTCTTTATTATTAAGGATTAAGATTTACAAGTTGACGTTTCTAGGACTTTGGAGGCTGTCACGACATCCGAATTATTTCGGCGAGATCGTCGTCTGGTGGGGAATATTCATAATATCTTTGAACGTTATCGAAGGAGCGGAATGGGTAGCTATCGCATCCCCGATTTTCACGACGTTTATTATATTATTCCTGTCAGGAATGCCGTTATTGGAAAAGGCGTCGGATGAGAGATACCGAGAGTAAGTATCGATAACTCTGTTGAAAATTTGTATGATCTACTAAAGAAAGTAATATTCCGTCAGTAAAAAACTGCGAAAACAAAATAAATACACAACATATACATTAACATATATCAACTTATTAAAAGGAATTGAAATCTGGAAGGATATAATAATTTAAAACTAAATTAATGAAATTATTTAAATTTCTGTTTTTGTGATAAAAAATAATTTATACCAATTACAAATTCATGAAGCTTTTGGATAATACCGCGTCTCAATGTGTTCTCAGCAACGCGGAATATCGTTACTACAAGCAATCCACGTCGCCGTTGATACCGATACCGCCGTCCATTTACGTCGAGGTGCCGCGTTTCCTCAAGTTCATCCTCTGCTGCGAATTTCCGCTGTATGACTCTCTGGATGTGAAACCGAGATCAGCCGTCACCGAGTCAACATCCATCAGTCTCGCGGCGTCCACGTAGCTGTAGCCACACGCCGGACGTCCGAATTCTGAGTCCGGCGTGCAGTCAACAGCAACAGCTACGGCCAGTACAGCCTTCTGAGTGTAACTTTACCTCCTCGAGAGTCCCTTTTATCCATTCGCGAATACGAACTCGATGGCCGAATCGAAATGTCTAGTGTTCTCTCAAACGCAACATCGACACCTCAAGAAATACGGAACTGTACTTGGCCGAGCACATCAAGTTCGGTATGTGAGGATCGTTTGGAACAGATCCCTCTTCAAGATTCAAGGAAAGGCTTACAAAACGAAATATTATTATTTTTCTAACTGAAAACCCTTCCTGACGTTAGACGATAAACGGTACCGATGACTTTTCGTATAGAATCGAATGATGAGTGAACAAAGAAAATTATTTTTCTAATGATGTTATATGGGTACCAATGTAAAAGTAGCACAATCGACCAATTCGAGCATTCGTTCCTATACGATAAGTCATCAGCAACGATTCGATTAACGCTTTTATTTATATACGTATTTAAACTCTTATTTTAGATACAAGAAAAAAGATTGGAGATGATATATAATTTGTATGCTCTAAATAATCCAGACTTAAACAAAAAAACTAAGTCATCAATATTCAATTAGTCAACCGCTACCTGTATTTTCAATCGTGTAAATGCATAGTGTTATAACGTTTCAAAAGAGTAGTTTTTGCGGAAATAAATTAGGCTGTCATTTACCGTGCTCGCTGTCAACTAACGCTAACAAAAAAGATACGTGTCTTAAATAGCGCAAATAAGTAATTTAAAGCGAGATTTTAATGTAATATAAATAAAACGACATAGTTCGTTTCTGAAATTAACAGTAATTTGTAAAATCTATAGTCCACGGTGAGCGGTTGATATTGTCGGTTTGTCAAAGATAAAAGAATTGGCAGAAACATACACAGAGATTAAAGGGAAACGGAAGTACGTGTACAGTATCTCGATTCCCGTAACTCGCAATAAGTTACGGAGTAAGCAATATTTATCACCGGGTACGTATGGCGAACATAATAAAACTGTCACATTTACATTCACCTCGCTGTCACAAACGCTATCCATTCCGTTAGTATGTCATGTAAGATGCTTATGGAGAAATTTTAGATGCGAGCGTGGTACGTTTACGTGTCCTGATTCTTCTCCCGAGGCTTTTGATCAATTTATTGAATCATAGCAATATTAAACATATCTTTGTGCCGAATAGAACGTCCCCAGAATATGAGGTAAAAATAAATTCTGAAGGAAATCTATAAAGTATAAGTAGTAATAATAGAAATTACGAAGCGTATGAAACGAATTCTTCATGGATGAACGATCCAGATGTTCTCAATATTTGATCGTTACGTATGTCTTCAAAGTTTAGATAATAAATGATAATTGATCCTGATTTATGATTATATTAATATATCCGTCCTTTCCTTCCTTTCCGTAAATTACATGCTATGGTTACGCATGTTATTTACGCATGTTACCAAGAATCTTTCTTAAATACAATTCGAAAAGACAGTAATAAATGTTAATAGATTTTACATAAAGTTCGCTTCATATTTATAAACACATTTTATTTGTTCGTATGTATATCGTTAATAAATGGTGATATAATAATGACAATGAAATGTATAGCGCCGAGCATAAAACGAGCAGTCATATTATAATTATTAATATTCCTCTTATAATAATCTTACTGTATTGAGTGGGCCTACCTACTGTGCTTGCAACGTTATGGTCTCTCTCTTGTCCAAATGTTTCTTCCATTCTCTAATTTATATTATTTATTCATACATAATAATTCATAATAATATGTAACCACAGGTGAAAACATATGCGCCGTCCTAAATATAAACAGCATCATCCACTAATCTTTTTTTCCATTTTTCGTTACGTGATCATATATATATATATGTATATATATCTATATATATAATCGTTATCAATATAGTAAGCTACTTAAATGTAATATATCTCGTGTCTTCTCGTGGAATATGTTCAGCTGCCGTAGAAAAACTACGCAGCCGCTACGCAGTTCGTAGAAAAAACTTCAATTCCCGTTATACATCAAATTGTCGATTTTCGATGCGTGAAAGACACTTTGTATTACGCAAGGTAATTTCCTTAACACGTCCGAAAAATCGTGTCAATAAAATACGTGGGCAGCACAGCGTTTTGAATACCAAGGGAAAAGAGATCAAAACGTTACCTGTGCCTCTTCGCTAAAAGAAAGAAAGAAAGAAAAAAAACAAGAGCGTGGAGGGAGCAGGGAATGGTGGGTGAAGGGACGAAATATTACGACTCTGCTATACACGAATGGCATCTTCCTCGCGTATCTAAGTCCGACTGCATTCGCGCCACGTCTACATAATACATATACTATACAAATAATAGATAATAATAATAATATATGTCGTCCATCGCTTATCGCGGTTCCTTATCCATTCGTCTAAAAAAATATCGTTCGAGAAAAAAAATTGCAAAAATAAGTATAATATTCGTATAAAATATAGGAATGAGTATCGTCATTAAAATAAAATTTGATTGCACGCGCTTTGAGATAATGCTGAAATGCAAACGGGACTTTGCGGCCAGACGGAAGAGCGGATCGAGAGCTACTTTTCTGTACGGCTTTGTCAATCCATTTGCATTCTACATTAGGCTGTCTGAGGACATCCGTTGCTAGCTAGTCAATTGGCGTGACTCGACTCTCGATTCGATTGTTACAAGTACACGAGAGAAGTAACTCAGTCAATCGATGACCTAACGTTGATTTTTGCATGGACATCGGATTTCCTTCTTACTTTCATACGATTAGTATTAATGTTGCCGCGTTCTTATTAATATTATCGTTACTTTAACATTAGCGTTATTATTATTAGCATTAGTTATCATAATCAATAATGAAAATCTCGGACCGCATTGATGAACCGGCTACAAAACGCAACGGTGCTTCCTCAGATGATTTCGATAGACAATCCTCTCAATGATACGTCGTAAAAAATCTGTCGTTATACAAAATTGTCATTTTTTTCAGAAACTTCATCTAACACGATATAAAAGTAAAAATAAAACGCGCGATACACGTATGAACGAAAAAGGAAAGTAACATGAATTAAATTAAAGAGAAAAATTGCGTTACGTTGCGCGCAAGACGCAAGGTAACTTATGCACAGCAAGGATCATTGAGAGAAGCGAAGTAGGACGCTCTTCGTCTTAAAAGGCGGGGATCGGTATGCCGTTGTCACGATCCTACACTCGCTTCTTCTTTTCTTCCTCTCCTTCTGTAACTACTTCTATCTTATAGCGTTACGCTATATTGCATTTGGCCACTGTCGACAAAGACCCCAGCTGCGTCAGACTATTGCAGTTCGTATATTGCAATCCTACGTTTCTAATGACTTATGAGATAGCCCCGTTTTCGTTTGTCCTTAGCAGAGCAGAAGAAAGGGCGTGTGGATTAGAGAATAGTCGTTTCGGTCATGTGTGTATCTCGAGTGTATCAATGTAAAATAACGCGTGATGCGCATTGAACGTATATAAACGAAGTATTAACATTATACATGAGTCTATTAATATCTATACGTATAAGTAGAGAGCTTTAGTCTCAAACCTTATTTCTCTCTCTCTCTCT